TAAGCATCAATTGACTTCCCTCTATTTTACTCCCCCTCAATGAGTGCAGTTGACTTTGCTGTTGAGACTACTTCCTTTAGCTCCCCCTCAAGAGGTGCCGCGTGTACCTCTGTTGAGACTACTTCCTTTAGTCGACTTCTTTTGCAGGATATATGACTCCCCCTCAAGAGGTGCCGCGTGTATCTCTAGTTGACTTCCCTGCATGTATATGCACGACTATATATATCCTTTCTCTTCCTTTTTGGCATCAACATAACAGCAGATAACAACATACTATATACTAAAACAGAATTTATAGCATGATATGCTTGCAGAGTTATGGCAAAACAAACAAAACATCATCCAACGACTGGTTATCCAGTTCAAAATAGCACAACAAAAATATTGTCTAAAACTTCCACATTAACGACACAAGAAATAGGTAAGAGTGTTGCAAATCTCCTCCTTCAGTTGATCAAAGCTGGCACTAGCTGAGATAGTCACTCTATCAAGCCTGTCGTGTACCTCCTTGAATGCCTTGATTGTGTTTTTCCTAACTCTGAGAACTGCAACTCTTATCTTTGACACATCAGACCCTGTTTCTTTAGAGATTGCATGAATGTCTCTAACAGTGGACTAGGTAGCAACAAGAAGATCTTTGATAGTGGACAACTGATTGTCAATGGCAGCAAGTTTATCAGCAAGGTCAGGATCACTAGGACTATGATGGGAAACAGAGGGCTTGGATTTTGATTCAGGTTGAACAAGTTTGACCTCACCTTCTTGCTTCTTAACCCATGAGCCCTTCACATGCACATACCCTATACTCGCAAACGCTCTGGAATTGTAAGATTTTGAAACAGAGATGAAGGGATATTCAGAGATGGAGATACTATGAGCTTCCAGAATATGAGTGATGGCCATGCCATAGGGCAGACTGGTGGGATCATCAGCACTTTCAATCATAAAATTGATGACCCAGGAGGATAGACAAGAAAAGTATCTCTTTGAGACAAGGTTGAGAAAGAACCAGTACGTGAAAGCAGAGTAGTTGCAACAATGTGGGCTAGAACACGAGTTTCAAAACTAACATCACTTGGACCTAACTGGTTTGGGAGAGATTCAGATGGACACTCAGCAATACACCGTTTTTCTTGATCAAAAGAGATATCAAAATCATCAGGCCAGGAATTTCTAAAAAGCATGGAAAAACCAGAACACTTACACTAGAAAATTAAGTCAAACATGGCACAATCAAGAACAATACGCTTCCCTAACACTAAGGATTCCAACTTGTCAGACTTACTAGAGAGAATATTTGCATAAAACATTTTCACTAGGGGTTCATAAACTTTAGGAGGGGGAACAGAAAAGAATTTTGACCAGCCTTGATAGACGAACAAATCTTTTACCTTACAATTTAGGGCTTCCATGTCATCAAGGATGACTACCCTCCCATGAGCAATTGGCTTGTCTTTCAAAGCGATGAAAAAAATCCTTGTTTGGAGAATCCCAGAAATTTAGGTCAGACTTTAAAGAGCTAGATAGATCTATTTTTGACTTTTTTGGAGTAAAGGATTCAGGGGGTTCTTCCATAGGTCTTTTTCCCAAGGCTTTTTCTCCTAAAGTATGAGAATGATCTAAGAGATCCGCCTGAGAGGAGGCAAAACCTTCTGAATGGTCGGACCCTAGGTCTACTTGTTCTGGAGGCTGAGAAGGAGTTTTTGCTCTGGAGCGAGTACTCTTCCTAGTAGAGGCAGAGGGATTTTTGGAGTGTTTGGCCATGGAAAATCTTTGGTTGAGGAAAGTTTTTGGAGAGGGTTTCTAGGCGATAGAGACGATGGAGATTAAAAATGGGTTTCAGGTATTAAAAGAAGGGTTTCTGACGGTTGAGTACATAAAAGGAAGGGGTGTCAGTGATCAGACATGATGATTGGTTTTCCTTCTTTGAACTCTGCAGCTGATGTGAAAAGAGAGGAAAAGAGAGGGAATTCGAAGGCGCAATTAATGATTAAAAAATGAGCATTAGCCATATAGTAACACATATGTCCTAATATTAATGATTAATGCAAATAATACCAAGTAATTCTCTTTAAAAGCAGAATCTATCCTCTAGTAAAGGCTTAGTAAAAATATCCACTAATTGATCAGTAGTTCCAACAAAAGATAGTTCTATATTTCCCTTAAGGACATGATCTCTAATAAAATGATGCTTGATGTCTATATGCTTTGCCCTAGAATGATGCGCATGATTTTTTGAAAGATATATAGCACTAGAGTTATCACAGAAAATTGGTATATGTTTAAAGAATAATTCATAATCACCCAATTGATGAGACATCTATAGTAATTGTGCACAACATTGTCCAATGGCGATATACTCAGCCTCAATTTTGGATAATGCGACTGATCCTTGATTTTTACTGTTTTAAGATATCTGTGCCTTTCCAAGTAGTTGGCATGTTCCACTGTTACTTTTTCTGTCTTCCTTATCACCTGCAAGATCAGCATCTGAAAAACCTTATAGTTTAAAATTTTTAGAGCGTGGATACCACAATCCATGAGAGACATTTCCAATAAGATATCAAATAATTCTTTTTACTGTAGTCAGATGTGATTCTTTAGGAGCTGACTGAAACTTGGCACATTTACAGACACTAAACATAATATCCGGTCGACTAGCAGTTAGATAAAGAAGTGAGCCAATCATTCCACGATACTTAGTTTCATCAACAGGATTTCCCTGTTCATCTTTGTCAAGACTGGTTGAAGGACTCATTGGTGTGCCAATAGCTTTGACATTGCTCATACCAAACTTTTGAATCAACTCCTTTATATATTTTGTATGACATATGAATGTTCCTTCTTCAGATTGTTGAATTTGAAGTCCAAGAAAGAACGTTAGCTCCCCCCCATTATACTTATTTCAAACTCGCTTTTCATAAGATTTGAAAATTCCTTGCACAAAAGAGGATTAGCACTACCAAAAATAATATCATCAACGTAAACTTGAATAATGAGATTACCTTCTGATGATCTTTTAATAAACAAGGTAGTATCTACTTTACCTCTTGTAAATCCGTGATCAATAAGAAATGAGCTAAGTCTTTCATACCATGCTTGTGGAGCTTGTTTCAGTCCATACATCGCTTTGGTCAGTTTGTACACATGGTAGGGAAACTTTGAATCTTCAAATCAAGGAAGCTGTTTCACGTATACCTCCTCTTCAATGAAACCATTCAAAAAGGCACTTTTAACATCCATCTGGAACATCCTGAATCTTTTAAGGGATGCATATGCAAGAAGAATTTGTATAGATTCCAGTCGAGCTACTGGAGCAAAGGTTTCGTCATAGTCGACTCCTTCTTGTTGAGAGTATCATTGAGCAACTAATCTGGCTTTGTTTCTCACAACTTTTCCATCCTTATTCAACTTATTTCTGAAGACCCATTTTGTTCCAATTACGGGAGCATTTTCAAGCTTGGGCATCAGTTTTCATACTTGATTTTTGTCGAATTGATCTAGCTCTTCATGCATTGCTTGCAGCTAGCTTGAGTCTTTCAAAGCTGCCTCTATTTTCTTTGGCTCAATCTGGGAAATCAGTGCTATGTTAGCTTTCTTCTTGAGAGCTCCCTTGGTTTTCATTCCTTCGCTTGGATCCCCTATGATGAACTTCTGAGGATATTCCGGTTCACTTCTCCATTCATTTGGATGAACTGTATGAGTAGTTGACTCCTCTGGAGGTTCTGATTGACTGTTGCTAATCTCATTAGTTGACTCTACCACACTGTCAGGTTTATTAGTCGACTCTTGAGATTTGCTTGTCTCCTGAATTACCTGTGTTTGATCTTCATCACCTTTCCACAGTTCATAGGGAGTCTTCCTTGGGATGGGTCTTATGAGACATCGATTGAGGATGTGATAAGTTGTACTTACTCCTTCTACCCAGAAGTGATTTGGTAGTGAATATTCTAGTATCATAGTTCTTGCCATATAAAGTCCCGTTTTTCCTTTCAACAACCCCATTCTGTTGGGGTGACCTTGGAGCAGAGAAGTTGTGAATGTATCCTTGATCGTTGTAGAAATCTTCAAATGCTCTGCTTTCAAATTCTCCTCTGTGATCACTTTGAATAGTTGTAATAAGATATCCCTTTTCTCTTTCGACCTTTTTACAGAAGATCTCGAAATGTTTTAAAGCTTCATCTTTGTGAGATAGAAAAATCACCTAAGTAAAACGTGAGTAATCATCAACAATAACAAATGCATATCGTTTTCCTCCTATGCTAGTAGTTCTAGTAGGTCCAAATAAGTCCATATGAAGCAATTGCAAGGGTTTTGAAGTGGATACAACATCTTTGTTTTTGAAAGAATTTCTAGTTTGTTTACCAATCTGACATGCATCACATACATGATTTCTAGAAAAATTGAGTTTGGGTAAACCAATAACTAAATCATGCTTGAAAAATTTTTCTATCAAATGCATGCTTGCATGACCAAGTTTCTTATGCCATAACCATGGATCATCAGATATGGACGTTAAGCAAATATGACTATCTATATTTTCAAGACCATCAAGAATATAGATATTTCCATACCTTTTACCTGGGAGGATTATTTTACATGTCTCATCTTCAATAGCACAACCTGTTTTCTTGAACTTTACTTCATACCCTGAGTCGCATAGCTGACTTATACTCAGAAGGTTGTAGTTAAGTCTGTCAATAAGATAAACTTCAGTGATATCACAATTATTATTGAAAGGAACTGTTCCGGTATCGACTATCTTTCCTTTTGAGTCATCACCAAATTTGACATTTCCTCCATCTATTTTTGTAACTTCTTTAAACAGGTTTTTGTCACCTGCCATGTGACTGGAACACGCACTATCCAAGTACTATTTTCCTTTACGACTCCTTCTGTGGTGTTCCTGCAAAACATAATTATCACTTCCTTTTAGGTACCCAAGCTTGCTTGGGTCCTTGTTGGTTAGTATTACTAGATTCAGGATTGTTTTCGGGTTTTCAAATCCATCCTGAGACATTTGACTTACGAAATCGACAAAAAGAATATCTGTGTACATTTTTATTACAGTAGTGACACGTAGGACTTGATCCATTTTTGGTTCTCCCATTTGTGTCAGTACTAGTGGACTCTGTTCTGGCTGGTCCTTTTCCAATTGACTTGTAAGTCACCTGGTTCGACTTTACAAAACTATGACTGGTAGATTTGCGCATGCCATTGAGTTGCATTTGCAATTCATCAACTTCATCTTGAAGTACTTCTTTTTCAATTTCGCATACTTTAAGCTTGAGTTTCCAATCTTTTATTTCTCTGTTGAGTCTCTTTATTTCATTCATCATCTTTTGAGACTCTTCCAAAGTAAGGTCAAGAATATCGTGCAATTCATTACATCTTTCACAGTTAAAAGGTCTTACCTCGCTTGTTTCACCTCGTGCCATGAAATAATTCTCGTTGTCATCTTTACAATCATCATTTGAGATGTCCCCATCTGTCCAGCACCCTAAGAGCTTGTTCATGTCGTTTTCCAAAATTATCATGAAGCATAGATTTGCTATCTCTTCATGTTTAGAACTGTCTTCATCACTCCAGCTTCCAAATAATTTGTTCTTGTTAAACCCTCTGGAGACCTTTCTTTTAAGCTCATGACATTCAACTTGAACATGCCCAAATCTTCCACATTCATAGTATTTGCCATCATTTTTGTCTTGTTCATTGTATTGCCTAGTTCGCGTGGGTGGTATTCTGCCTCTTTTTGTATTCCCGTATCTCCTCATTAAACCATCCATGTTCCTTGATACCATGGCAATTTCTTCTTGAAGAGCTTCAGGGTCGTCATCAATATCATTGTCTGTTCTTTCAGTTGTAGCCTTGAAAGCAATTATTTTCTTCTTCTCTTCTTGGTTTGTTTTTTTGAGATGAGTTTTCTCAAAAGCTATAAGTTCTCCTCAAAGTTCATCATATGATAATTTGTTCAAATTCTGTGACTCAAGAGTAACTACCTTTGTCTTCCAAGTAGTGGGCAAACTTCTCAGAATTTTCTAACTTGATCACCACTTGAGTCGGGTTTGCCAAAAGCTTTTAGATCACTGAAGATTTTGCTAAATCTGGCAAACATTTCTTCAATAGATTCTCCTTCTTCAATCTGGAAAAGTTCGTAGTCATGAACCAACATGTTGATATGGGTTTCTTTCACTTTACTGGTTCCTTCATAAGTGACTTCAAGTTTATCCCACATCTCTTTGGCTGTATCACAACTGAAGATTTTCTCATATTCCTCATCACTTATAGCATTATAAAGCAGATTCCTTGCTTTAGCATTAACTTGCACAATCGCCATTTGTTCATCAGTATATTTATCTATATCTTCAGGATCAGCGGGTGGTTGAGCAGCAGCCGGTAGTGGGTAATTCCCCTTTTTGATAACTCTCCAAACCTTGACATCATAAGATTTTGCATATATTTCTATACGCACTTTCCAGTGAGAGAAATATTGTCCATTAAAGTATGGTGGTCTCACTTGCGATGTTCTTTCCTAAAAGAGTGCTCCGACAATAACTTGATTTGCCATGATCTTTTCTCACAAGCTGTTAAGCAAAAGAAAAAGTGTGAGTCTTGCTCTGATACCAATTGAAAGTACGGAGGGGGGGAGGGGGAGTGAATTATTTATTTTTATATTTTAATAGCTACTAGTTGACTAGTTTTCTAATTAGATGACTAGATATAATAACAAGATAATAAGAAGAGCAGAAATTAAGATGCGAAAATAAAGTACAGTAATTAAAGACACCAAAATTTTTATACTGGTTCGGATTTAATGTGAATCCTAGTCCAGTCCCTTTGGGTTGCAAGGGAGTTCTCTTTTAGTGAATGAGTTTCTGGAGTACAATCGTGAATGGTGTGGTTTACACCAATGGCTCAGTTTCTATGTCACTCATTTTTTTTTGATACAATGTCTCACCAATATTTTTCTCTCTTTCTTCTCTAACTTATTACACAGCAGATCTAATAGAGCTATAATGTTTGTTTGCAGTAGAACAAAGAGATGGTATTTGATTCGATCAAAGTATATTTTTCTAAGGCTTAAGGATGTGTATAAATACTTTGAAAGAGGCCGGTGCTGAAGAGATTTTCCAACCCAAGAGATTTGATCCTTGGAAAGAGATTGGTTCTTTCCAAGAATAAGGTTATTTGCCGTTGCTCTTCCTTGATGAAAGAACTTTAATAGCTTTCCTTCTATAAGTCTTGATAGCGCCGGATTTACTCCTTGATTTTTGGTCCTTCTAGTAATAGCAACTTGATTGATCATCTTGTCTTTGATTGATTCCTTCAATCTTGGATGCTTTCCTTGAGTTCATTTAATTGATTCTTCCAATCTTGGATGCTTTCCTTGAGTCCTTATACTAAGAGAAATTATATTATTTTCATCATTAAAACTAAAACCTAACAAGCTAACCCGTGACCCTGAAATATTATCTCCTATTGATTGTTATTCGAAATTGTTTAAGTGTTGTGGTTGATTTCTAGTATTTCATTACTTGATAGTTTTTAGGTAGTAAATTAGGAAATTATCTATTTTGTGAGAAATCGGTTGAATCGATAAGTTATTTGAGTTTGAATTAGTCAAAAGTTAATCATAAGTCTTCGTGGGAACGATACTTTACTCACTACTCTATTACTTGACGACCACGTATACTTGCGTGCGTGTGTTTGATCGCAACAGTAACACACATATCAAAGGAATACAAACTTATTTCTCTGCTTTCTAGCTATTGTAAAGTTCTTATTTTAATCACAGTTCTTCTTACATATCTGCTTCTTACCGAGAATTCGACTAAGGGCAGAACTATCGCTAAGCTTGAATCCGATCCGAGGCTCAACGTCACAACTAGTTTGGTTATTTAATTTTGTCCTTAATTCGTTGATCTAACATCCTTAATTACTTGTATTGAATCAATCCACATATCCTTAAAATCGCGTATAAATTTAGTTATTATCCGTTTCAAGAGTAAACAAATTTTAAGGGATGATTTTGAGTGCTAACAATTATATACATATTTAATAAATTTTTTAATACAATATACTATTTAAACAAAAACTATTGAGTTAGGCCGACACAAATTATTTGAGCTTCTACCTCTGACCCCTGATTATATTATTCTTCATGCAGTGCAGTAGTACTTCTGGTGGTAGTTACCATTAGTGGTTCATAGTTGCCCATCTTTCATGAGAGTCACCAGTAACCAACAAAAAACATTAAAAAGCAAGTCTTTTTAAAGTCATCTTCCCATGATATTGATATCGTATTTAATTTAGCTCCAAGTAGTAAGTAGTAACTAGTAAAAGTAAATATTGTCTCGAGTATGGTTAAAAAGAAAATACTAAAATATCTTTTTCTTTTTTGCATGAAGAGAAATAAGATATTTGTAAGAAATAATTAGTGGCCTACAACTCAACGTATAGCCACGTAAAAAGAAAGGTTGTTGGTGAGAGGGGTTTTGTATGGGAGGAAGATAAAGAAATTGGAGAAAAAAAAGCTGTTAAAATGTGTGTAGGAAGTTAGACGAGGAAGAAAAGCATGTGAGCTTATTCCACCAAAAAAATTTAAAACATAAAAAAATGTAGAAAAACTATGAGTCTGAATTTCATATATTGACGGTGTAAAAATACTTACATAATTTACATTTTACATAATTTATATTTTATCGGGGTCTATCGAAAACAGTTTTTCTACCTTCACAAAGTAGGGGTGAGGTCTACGTTCACACCACCCTCTCCAGACCCAACTTGTGAGATTATACTGAATATATTATTATTGTTGTTGTCGTTGTATATGACTGTGTTTAATAACATTAATTCGTAACCTAAAATAACAACAAGTAACTTATTATAACGAATTAAATATATTGATAATGTAAAATTCATCAAT